TAGCCGTGACAGTGCTGTGTGTATATAAACTGTCCGTAGTGGGCAAACAAAGCGAGAGCTTTCTAACGCCTACCCAGTTTGTCTCTTGCTCTGTTTACCTGCGACCCATCTCATCTTCCAGCTTACCTTTCCTTAAGCACTCTACATCCTTCCTCGTCAACTAACCATCTCCCCATCCTTGTCCATTAGTGGCCCAATAACAGTCAAGGCCGAAAGCCCTGATACCTTTAAAAGACATCACATTGGGATGTTACATACGTATACCCTGTGGTAAGTTGACCCCTATGCCTGGTCTCTTTTGGATACAATTCTTGTCTGTCCCATGATTCCTTGCAGATGATGATGGAAGCGAAGGCTGAGCTACAATGACGAACAAATTGTCACTCTGATGCGAGATATGAATGGCTAAAAATTCAGGATGTGCCTGACATCTACCGGACTAAACAATCCCGATTAAGCAGTCACAATTGCTAACCTGGTCCGTTTACTTTGACAGTTTTCCGTTCATCCATAACCTGGTCCCTTGGAAGCTTGAGGCAAGTTTTCATCGAAGCCAGTGAGAAATCTCGATATCGACCCGAAACACAAGATGATGGGGATCAACTCCTATGGCCCCCCTAGATCTCCTCCATCCATTCATTCCTATGAAATGCGATCTCCCTTTCCCACTAGCAACCTTCGGCCCTGATCAGATGTTGCACAACATGGACCCCAAAATGGACCTAATTATTCTTATGCCATGCTGACAAGCGATGATCAAACACCCGTGGACGATAAACCAAATTACTCTATGCAATCTACTCAGGTAACATGTCGTACAAGATCACCTGATACAAGTTGTCGCTAACCAAGTTGCCTTACCACTATCATAAGGAAAGAATCACTAGCTGACCATGGAAAGACTATATTTAGGTGTCTCTGATCGACCTAGCATAGGCTAGAGCTTGCAACCTTGTGTCTCGCGTGTCTCTTTGCTTGAATAAATCGAGCACGTCGTCCCTCGGCAACTATGATTATGGTTAGCACCTCAGACATTTCATTTTCGAGATAGTTATACTCCATTGCTTTACTTGCACATGATGAAATATTTACCTTCTTTGAAACATTTATGTGAACAACTACCTCATTCTGATCCAAGTGAAAGCAGTCAAGGCCATATCTTGCTTTTTACCTTGAAGTTGATGGGATAATTTACCGACTTTGATCGAATATGTTAGGCTGATAGAAGAATCACACAGGTCGAATACCCCACAAAGTGTTTGAACTCTCTCAATCTTGAATGGAGAGAGGTCCTTGAGTGGTGAGTTGAAACTCGTTGTTTTACCTGCGATTTGATATGATTCCATGCACCAACTTCCTGCCCTCCGGGAATGCTTGATTCAGAATTCTCAAATGATGATATAAGGCGTAGTCTGACATGATACTCATAATGTTGAAAATATCTGGCCATCTGACGTGAAATGAATACAAGTCCCGGAGGCCAAACTACCTGTGCTATTTCCTAGCGTGGGTTCCCTTTATTTGTACACGACGGACTGACAATTGATTTGCAGGTAAAAGAATGATACCGCAATTTTGATATGGAGAACTCATATTGATACCTGGGCTCTGGTATGACTCCTATATATCAACTTTCAATTTCTCCAAGACACTTTTGTTAGGCTGAAACCTTGCAAATGATGCCTCCAGCAGTGATTCCTGAAACATGGTCAACAGGAAAGAATGTTTGAGGAGGTTTCGGGGCATGACTGCTACCAATATTTTCGACGAGGACAAGTACTAACGAGATAGCGAGATCTTCCAATGATGTATCACGGGGATGTTGAGCTGATTCAATTGTGATCAACATCAATCGATGATCATTTCTTGTACGAATCTATCAACAAAAGGTTACTTGCTATGAAGTAAGATAATTGTTTTAGAACCTTGCACTTTTGTATTGCCTAAGGTATGTATGAATCGCTTGAATAGTACAAAGTACATTAGATACAGTCATGATATGATGTGCAGATCAAAGAAAAAATCAGCGCGACACGACACTAGTAACGCTGTGACCCCCGCTGAATGGTATCATTTGCACTATCCAGTGCGATGCGATCTCCATCTTCGCCTTCACCTTCATAGTACCGTCGATCCCGAATGTAGTACGGTCTCTCAACGTATTCCCCGACTTGTCTATCCTCCATGAAGATACTGGGCTCGCGGCCTGGCCCAGTTGGTCTCACGCTCCCAACTCGCTGAATAACCTCATGTGAGTCTTCATATCGAGGCTGTGGAGGACGAACACTGGCTGTTCGAATTATTCTCTCCTGGGGAACTCCACGCTCATCAACATAGACTGCATGCCGAGGAATGTACTCCGCTACTTGTACACTGCTGCTGCGTGAGTAAGGTTCATGGCCTTCCAAAGGAGCAGCGTAGCCTTGTCTCTCATGGGCTGCTACGGGACGAGCATATTCTGACGTCACTCGCCTGTAGACTGGCTGGGGCGGGGGCATTTCCTGCACGTAGTGTCGTTCACCGTAGGGGTCTTGCACAACCGAGGGTGCACGAACACTACCCGCGTGGTGATGCACTCTCTCATCGTAAACATCCTTTGGCATCTGAGAGATAGGCCGGAGCGGGGGTGGGGGCGGAGCCATCGGCTGCAGTCTTGGTGCCTGTAGCAACTCGTAATACTGAGTGCCATGCTCATCAACCACGATACGACGTTGAGGGGGTGCCATCATCCGTGCCGGCGGTGCCTCTTCGTAATAAGTCTCCCGGTACGTTGGAGGTGGCATGTCATCCGCAGCAATGTAACGATGCTGTGTGTAAGGAGGGGCTTCTTCGTAGTACCTTGGCCGCTCCTGAACCGGGCGTTCCACAACGTATGATGCCGCGCGAACTGGGCGTGGATGGGCCTCAATGTACTCACGAGCATAGTCTGATTGCCGAGCATACTGTGAGCTCGCAACTCGCCGAAGATCGGCTTCCTCCCGAATTGGTCGCCTGACACTCATACGAGATATTGTGCGCTGGGGACCGGCGTCTGGTTGGGGCCCATGGTACGGGTCAATCTCGTAAACTGGCTCTCGCACTGGTGGCCCCCGACTTTCGTATACTGGGGCGTACTGGGGGGAGGCGATATCAATGTAGATGGGGCGTTCTGCAGGGTTTCGGCCGCGAACAACAGTATGATCGTCGGCGAATGGTGGCGGTGAAACAGGCTCCTCTTTGATGAACGCCTCGGCAGGTTCTGCATTTTGTGTCCTGCGTGAGACTGGACGGGACCCTTCATCGCCTTCGCGCAGCCTCCTCCGTTTCCGGGACATCACTTGGAAGACCGGTGAATGGGGGCTGCCACGAGCAGAATCAGGTTCCAAATATACCTGATCAGGACCATGCTCAGTTCGTTCATCCCGAATTTGCTGGACAGAGGGAACCTTGGAAATGGCCAGAGGTGACACCCGAGATGGCCGGGGAGCTGCCGGTGATGTGATATGGTTTTGAACTACCTTCACGCTTGCGGGAGAGGGGGGCTTGCGGATATCCCTGGTTCGGTCGGTGTGTCTGACATCTTGCCTAGATTTTCTTCCCGCACCACTTCCTACCCCATGGGGATATTCACGAGGATCTGCTGGCGGCGCCGCTGGAGCAGGAGGGGAATATTCGGGTTCGTCCACAGTCTCGAATTGATGCGAATCGCGGAAGCGGCTGACGGGAGCCTCTGCCTTATGGTAGCGGGCCTGCTTCTGAGAATGGGAGTGACGCTGGTCAGCAACATGGTAAGCATCTGACATTTCCTGATCGGATCCAGGACGGTTGAGAGCTTCAAGTCGCTGCAACTCATCTGCGTAGTGGGTTACAGGAACAGGCGCGGCAGGTCCTGTGGGGGCAAGTATAGCCACGGGTGATGACTTTTGTTGTCCGCCAGTTTGGGGAGGCGAGTCAGGAGCTCTACTGGAGTAAAATGAATTGTCGTCGAAGTCACTGGGCGGACCACCAGCACCACTGGCCTCAGACGCATCGCTCAGCGAGACTGGTTTCACTGCCTCAAGAGCTTGTTTGAAAACTTCCGAGACGTCAAAGTCAGGCTTCGTGTCTTGAACCGCAGGCCTCTGTTTGGTCTCTTGTTTCTTCAGCTCCACTTGATCACGCAGCACTCTTTCCAATCTCTGCCTTTGTAACTGTAGTTCTGCCCTGATTAGGTCATCTGACTTGGTCAAGAAGATTGGATCGATCTCGGACGTAGGTTTTGAAGCTACACGGGCGGGTTGTGCAGCAGGCAAGGCGTTTCTGGCCGAGGCACTTTGCGAACTACTGTAAGGCTGTTTTGTGGTCGCAGCCACAGGCTCACTCGCTAATACAGCTTTCGGGGAAGGGTTTTTAGGTAAATGAGTTCGAAGAGGGACATTTTGGTTATTTTTCCCAGACTTGCGCACCAGGTGCTGGGGAACATTGAGACGGGGATGAGTGCCCGAGAAGACTTGCTCATTGATGGCTAAGATTTTTTCGTACTCTCGGACCTCATCATCCGGTGTAAGGGCTGAAATAGCCATGGGACCTGCTGGAAGGTGAGTTGTTGGCCCATGAGTTGCGGCCATGGTCCTAGGGAAAGCTAGGGGAAGGGAAGGGATCGGTGAAGCTAAAACAAGATGAGAGAGACTGGAAGTAGAGCTGATTGCCAACGCGTATTACACACGTTAAATACCCACTCAGTCCAATCTACGATTGAGAAAGGCTCTGAGAGTTGGAAGGTAGAGCAACTGAAGTGGTTTTTTAAAAGTCCACCCTACTGGCCGTTTGGGCGCTAGATCTGATTAGGTAAGGTCACGGGTGTGCGCTGGACATCGGGAAAGTGAAGAAGAGTGAAAAGGAAGCTGACCTTACTTTGATCTTCCCTTTGATCTATGCATCGATCATTTGCGTTATCTTCCTGCCGGCTTATTAGACCTGTTGTGACTTTGTCTAGACTTACACCTGCTTATCTACCTTTGCGATTTCACAATACAAGATCGATGGCGACCAACGGCGCCAACGGGGTCAATGACTCACGGCCAATCTTTTTCTTTGATATTGACAACTGTGTAAGTTGAGAGATCCTAAAGTTGGAATTCGGTTACTAATTACTATGTGTTCCTACAGCTCTACTCCAAAGGTTGGTGATGTTGATTTTCGCTCTTTCTGAGCTATCTGAGCTACTACTGACAAACATACCTCCGCGCAGCTTGCAACATCCACGATGAGATGCAGACATTGATCAGTGGGTGAAACCAGTACAATATGCTGGAATATACAACTAACACAGTACACTTTTACTAGATAAATTTTTTGTGAAGCATCTCGACCTTAACTCTGAAGATGCCCATATGCTGCACCAGAAATACTACAAGGAATATGGACTAGCCATTGAAGGCCTTACCCGCCACCACAAGATCGACCCGCTTGCGTTCAATCGTGAGGTTGATGATGCTCTACCTCTTGACAATATCCTCAAGCCTGATCCCAAGCTGCGCAAACTGTTGGAGAACCTGGACACAACAAAGGTGAAGCCGTGGCTACTCACGAACGCTTATATCAACCACGCAAACCGTGTGGTGAAGTTGCTTGGTATCGAGGATCTGTTCGAAGGTATTACTTATTGTGACTATGGAAATGTGCCCTTGATTTGCAAACCTAGTCAGGATATGTATGACAAAGCGGAGAAGGAAGCCGGTGCTCCCAGCACGGATCAGTGCTATTTTGTTGGTATGTCATTCTCCGTTGCACGACTATGACCGTTTATACTCTTTTATTCTAATGCTGCTGAACTAGATGACTCCCACTTGAACTGTGTACATGCGCATGCCCGGGGATGGACTACCGTTCACCTCGCCGAACCGGGTTTCCCCACACCACACAAGCCGGCTTCGAAGTACACGATCTCTAGCCTTGAAGAGCTTCAGGTGCTTTTCCCCCACGTGTTCAAACAGAAACCGTGAAAAGGTGGTTCTTAGATATGGACATGACCATGAGACTCTTTGTTTATTCCCTCTAGACTTTTGGTTTACGACTATGAACGTTTATGACTATGGGCCCTACATATATATATCCAAATACACCGTTCGAGCCTGCTATAATGATACAATAAAGAATCATTTAGCATTCCATCAATCCGTGCAGTGATCTACATCATAAATTAGAAGTTTCTGCCTCAGGCAGTGAATAATCACTTGACGCGCTCCGCTGGACTCAGGAGTTGCCGTGTTTCCGTTCTCTCGACAACCAGAACATCTCAGTTATCGCTCAAGAGCTCATTGTAGCTCTTGAATCTATTCAGCATGTCTGGCCAAGCCTTATCTGTAGGCACGGTGATTGAGCTACCCGATGGACGACAAGCAACAGTGCGCTTCATTGGCACCACTCACTTTGCGGACGGGCAGTGGATAGGCCTCGAGTTAGATGAGGCCACTGGAAAAAATGATGGTGCAGTCCAAGGAGAACGGTATTTTGACTGCGACCCAGGATATGGCATGTTTGTCCGCCCAACAGTGGTTGGCAAGATTGTCCAGCCCCAGCCGGAGAGTAAACAAGCCACCAAGCCGGCTACTGGTGTCGCAGGTAGCAAAATGCAGCCTAAACCCGGGATCTCCGCTGGTATGCGGAAGCAAACCGGACTGCCTCCTACATCAGTCAGGCGCCAGAGTACCAATGCAGCCTCCACTCCTACTCCGGCGCCGAAGGGTGTGGTCGCTCGATCGTCTCTCCGAGTATGTAATGTCCTACAATGGCATTTCCTCCTATTATGCTAACCTGGAACTCCACGTTCTTTAGTCGCCGACCAAGTCCCCAACAAAACAGCTCGCAACAACTGCAAGTCAAGCAACTCGCCCACCCATCGGCAGTACTTCCCGCACATCTACAGTGGCGTCTAATCGACCTCGACTAGCTCCCAGCACCAGAAGCTCCCTGGGTCCTTCCCCAACACAATCTGCAGCATCTAGAGGCTCGCGACCCTCGGTGTCTGGACCAGCCGCCCGAACCTCAAGACCGGCCTCCCAAAGTACTGTTGCTTCATCAACCGCAGGATTGACAAAGCGCCCTTCATTACGGCAGATTAGCAACACAAAAGCATCCGATGGAGGAGATACGGGAATGAGTGGGCGATCTGGAGATCCGACCGATACGGAGTCGCCTGACACTGAAGGGGAGAGTGCACAAGATGGAGTCACTGCGTCGAAGGCCTCTCGACAGTCGATGACTGCTACACGCCCAGCAGCCTCGCGTCCTGGGGCCTCGCTATCTGCATCTCAACGCCAAGCGCAGAGCAGTGCAGTTAATCGCGAGCTCGAAGAACTCAATGCCAAGCTCAAAGTTATGGAAAAGAAAAGAGCGGACGACAAGGAGAAATTGAAGACCCTCGAGCAACTCCAGGCTGAACGTGATAAATTTGAAACGATCATCCAAAAACTGCAAGCCAAGTATCAGCCGCAGCAACTGGAAGTCACCGAGTTGCGCAAAAAGCTGAAAGAACTTGAGACGCGTTCTGACGACGTGGAACGGATGCAGGCAGAGCATGAATCGCTCATGGAAATGGCTACTCTTGACCGCGAAATGGCAGAAGAGACAGCGGAAGCATTCAAGCACGAATGTTCAGCGCTACGATCAAAGTTGGACGAGCTGAATTTGGAGGTGGAGGTCCTCCGAGAGGAGAATGAAGAATACAGCCAGGAAATCACCCCCGAAGACAGAACCACTCATGGATGGCTGCAGATGGAGAAAACTAATGAACGTCTCCGCGAGGCGCTCATTCGTCTGAGAGATATGACACAGCAGCAGGAGGCTGATCTCAGGGCCCAGATTAAAGAATTGGAGGAGGACCTCGAAGAGTACGCTGCTGTCAAGTCTGATTACGAGGCCGCAAAGGAGAGAATCTTGGTGGCTGAGGCCAATGTCGATGATCTCAAGCAGCAGCTGGAAACAGCACTGGGTGCTGAAGAAATGATTGAAGAATTAGCAGACAAAAACATGCGCTATCAAGACGAGATTAATGAGCTGAAAGCTGCCATCGAAGATTTGGAATCTCTTAAAGAGATTAGTGATGAGATGGAGTACACCCACATTGAAACTGAGAAGCAACTCCAAGAAGAACTTGAGTACCGAGAGGGTTTATTCAGCGACCAATGCCGAAAAATCACACAACAGGACGAAGTTATCGAAGATCTTGAATACACATTAACCCGCTTCAGGGATTTGGTGACAACCCTGCAGTGTGACTTGGATGATATGCGCACAACCAAACAAATTTCAGAGGCAGAGACCACCGAAACTGCAATGCGCCACCGTCAGATGCAGGATTTGAACATGAAACTACAGGCCAATCAATCGAAGGCCCTGACCAAATCTATCGATCTCGAACTGAATCGTATGGAGTCTGAGGAAAATGCGCAGCACCTCTCAATGATCAAACTCTATCTTCCGGAGTACTTTGAAAGCGAAAGGAATTCCATCCAAGCATTACTTCGATTCAAACGTGTCGGATTCAAAGCCAACGTTATGAGCAGCACTCTACAAGAAAAGGGTTCTGAGCACTCAGTAGTCTCCAACGAAGAACTTTTTCAAGCCCATGTGGTTTTGGAGCACCTTATGTGGATCTCGAATGTGTGTGATCGATTCGTGAACTATATCACAGCTTGCTCGCCCGAGGAATTTGGTAGCATCAAGGTCGCACTGTTCGAAATGGAGCCAGTTGAGCGCATGTTGAACTTCTGGATCGAGCCTATGAAGAAGGACGAAGTGAATCTTGCAAAGCTTGCAGTGGAATTGCAGCGGTCTATCGCTCTCCTCGCCCACCTTGCTGAAACCCTTCTTCCTTCCAACTTGGAGATGTTTGCCGATGAACTGTGTATGCGGGCCCATTTATCCCAATTGTACATTGAGCATTCAGCCGGTGCAATCTCACGCGTTAAGCTCATTATCGGTTCTAAAATGGCTGCAGCGGGAGAGAGCGACGAGGAAAACTTGCTTGCTCTGAACAAACTGGACGCTTTTACCCCACAGGCCCGTGGATACAAGGTCGCGATGGGCAAGGTCAGCCGGTCGCTTGATGATCTACGTTCAAGGTCGCTTGCACTTCCGAAAGAGGCCGACGAACCCTTCAAGAAGATCGAAACTGAAACCAGACAACTCTCAGAGCTTGCTCGAAAACTCGGCGAAAACCTTGTGATCCTCACGAGTGATGAAGGTCGCACGGAGCCATTCGGCCCGGCAGAGATTCTAGACTGCATGTCCCAAGCTGCGGTATCTTTTGCCTCGTCCGAAACCCCCGATGAAAGCAACGACCCTGTTTCATTGCTCTTTACCAGATTGCGGGAGGTAGGCGATCAGTTTGAGGAGCTTGATTCTATCTCGTCAGATCTATCTCACACAACCGAGTTTGAGAGAGCTGCATTCCCATGGGTTGCCCGTGCCGCAGAATTAAAATCCAACAAAATGACATCCCCTGATGCTGACGAGGAGATCCGCCAGTTGAGAAATGAAATTCACGAGGCATCGGCCGCGCTTGGGGTCAAGGACAATACCCTTGAGGAGCAGGGCCTAAAGATTGAGCACCTTGAATCTAGGATGCGAGAGGCAAATAAGAAGGCTGCCATGGTCAAAGATCTCGAAGCCAAGATCGAGGAAATTCAGACAGCAGGGAGTGAACTCGAAAAAATTGTCGAGCAACAAAAGAAGGAGCTTCGGACAGCCGAATCAGAACGAGACGAGGTTATGGCTCGTCTTGAGCGAATGAAGCGCATGTCTGGAACCGCAGGCCTGACAGCCACGGGTAACGGCGCTGTCATTGCTAGTGAGGCATCTCTGGCTGCCATGGACGAGAATGAGTCTCTTCGCGCGGAGGTGGAAAGCCTCCAAGCAGCCGTGCGTTTCCTGCGTGAGGAAAACCGCCGTTCGAACATCCTCGACCCATACTCTGTCCAGCGATCTACTGATATGCACGCCTGGCTTGATGCGCCGCTCACGCGTGCTAAACCAACCCCCGAACAAGAGAAGATCCAACGCACTGCTCTCGAAAGTCGGGACGTCATGACCCATCTCCTCAAACTGACAAAGGAGTCCCGCGTCACCGATCTGAAATCCACGATGGCTGCTCCCACGAGTGACGACAATGACAACGCCGGCCGCACTGCCTGGCGCCCGTCCAAGACTCGCCTCCGTTACCAGGTACTGCAGCAGCGTGAAAACTTCGAACACTGGGCCGAATGGCGCGATGAAATTGTCAATCACGAACGTGAACAGGACCGCCTGCTCGCTGCCAAGCAGGAACGTGCAATGCGTGATCGCGTCTCCAGACATGCTCACAAGGCGTCTGTCGAATTCCCCCAGGGCTTAGGTCATGGCATGATGGGTCGTGCCTGGCAGATCTTGGGCATGCAAAAACACCGCAAAGCGGGTTCCATAAGTACACCTGCTCCGGATGATGATGTAGAGATAGTGACCGCGGACTGAAGCTTGGATTTCGTTTTATGAAAGCCAGCACATCGATATTTCGCGTTTGTACATGACATTCATCCTGTGATTTTTTTAACTTGTACCCTATTTTGTCTTTCCAGCAGCTACCTTGTCCTTTTCGAGATACCCTACAGTGATAGTTAGCGTCAGACTTTGTGTACAATCAACTTATGTATATTCCAGATGGGTCAGATATCACGACCAAATACCATGTGTATCAACCTGGACCTTGAACTCTGAGTTTGTGTTGTATGAATGCTATTCTCCCTACTAGAATACTTCTTAGAATAACCTGGCTATTAAAGGTCCCATGTAGTCATATCGAGACTGTATTCATTATTACTTCCTAGGTAAGCCAGGTGAATCCCCTCATAAAAAAGTACTAACCAACCAGAATCGAAATGGGGGTATTCCAACGCGCAGACAAAAAAATAGAGCCGAAAAGTAAACACCCAGCAAATATCCAACCAAGACCAAAACCAAACAGTCCTCAATCGACGAGAGGAGGAAATAGACTGAGTAACTCATTATCAAAATCATAGAAAGGGTAAACGTGTCGTTAGAACTCAAAACGCCAACCCAATACTGGACTCGTGGTACCTCATATGTCCATTATCGTGATACGGGGAGAATTTATGGTGCTGTTGCTGGCCCTCAAAGATGGTCGGGTAACAGACACCAGCGTCAGCAACCTTTTCTGCAGAAGATGAGGGGACCTGGAATGAGGTACGAGGAGTGATGGCAGTAGAGAAGGCACTAGAGATAGAGCTATTGTTCCGTACTCGGGCACCGCCAGTGATGGTCGTGGTAGTCGATGCGACTGTGGTGCCGCTCAGCGTGCGGGTTCGCTCCCAATTAAACTCGTTATCCCCGGGCAAAGAGGCCTGCTTCGGGGGCGTAGATGGCTTGGTGGGTGTAGGGAACATCCATTGGTTTACGCGGTTGGAAAGTGAGGAGCGGGCTGAATCGATTGTGTCCCGGTTCTGTGGGAGTGGAATGGAGGGACGGCGTAGAGATGAGATTTGTGATGGCATTGTGCGCAAGCTAGCTGACGAAGGACTGCCCTTGGAAATCGTCGAATACTTGGATGAGGATGTATCCGGTGATTCTATGCTCTTGAATGTAGGTGTATTCCGAGGCACGGTTTCCCAGGGTTGGCCTATGCTTGCATCGATGGGCCATGGGGTGTTCAGCGTAAGCTGGTTCCCCTCCGACTTTGATCTGTTATGGATTGGAGATGTTGCCTGGGCTTCTGGCAGAGTGGTCTCGGTGGGAGTGATTGTCGAGAAATGCGGAACTAGAGCACTAGTGATGCGAACAGGCTCTTTTACGAGCGAAGGTTCCATGTTCCCAAGTGATCGGCGTTTCTGGGACCCGACTGGCTTACGCGAGACTACAAATGCCTTTTGGCCATATCGATCTCGAACGCCGGTCGAAGTGGTCAGGGCACGCGGAGGCACCGGTAGCGGCTTGCGCTCGGTGCTCTCGTTTAGCTGGAAGCCTTCAAATGAAGGTAGGTCTGACAATCGATTGCCTGATCGATGAATGCGAAGGTCCAATGGTTGATAGGTTGGTGGCGGAGGTACATGGTATGACTGAGACGGGTGATCGTGGAAAGATTGCACTCTGCGAAAGTCTGAAGGTGCGCCAATCTTCAATGGGGTGGTTGAAGTTCGTTTCAAGGTCATGCTTGCCCGGTTAGAGGCTCGCGAGGCCAAGTTCCGACTGTCGTTAAACCATGATGACAGTGAGTTCCGATGTTGATGGATACTTGGACTAGGGAGGTCATCGTATACCACCAACTTCATGGGTGGGACCAGGTGTGGTTGAGTGTGGCATACTTGCATCTCCCGTTTAACGCCTGCGATATGTATTAGAGGATCACCTCTGGAGTATTGACGTAGTCGAACACATACCGTTCTCGGCTTGTCTAGGTTGACAGCCATCCTCGCCCGGTAGACATGTCAGGCATGATCGTATCCAACCAGTGAATAACGACCCCGCCTTCTCCAAAGCCAGCATGATGGCGACCAGCGCAAAAAATCAATCCATCGCCTTGAAGGGAATGGCAAGAGAGAAGGGGAAGGGACAAACCTGTAGCACAGGCAATCAGCCCCTCAGACGGGATGGGAACATCCTATAAGCCAGGGCAAATGTGAGCGATTTGCCTAATTCGTCTGGGCACACACCGTTATGGGCACCAATGAACAGGGGCTAGGCCTAGTCGAGAAATACATCCTGACGCCAGCGCATTTAGCCCCATTGATCGTCGGTTACGGAGCTGATTGAAGCATTGCTATTCGTTGGTGCCCAAGTGGTCACATCTGTGCTTATTCGTTCAAGCTATACCCTGTCAAGCCTGTCAGGTACTTTTTTGTGTGATGAGAAAGTTGGGCGCTTACAGAGATTGGAAGGAGAATATTTAGAATTTTCTTGGAGTTTCATAATGTCTTACAGTCTTCTGTTTCGGTTTGAAGAATATATACAGAACACAGAAATGTATCAGACAGAAAATGAAAAAAATGAGTAAATAAGATAGATTATCATGGCCCAGGATTTATCAAGTGACAGGGTACGCTGTGGGACGTGCTATTTACCCCATACGTTGTCCTGCTCTAAGCCGTCGTAGGCCCATTTGGGCCGATCATCGTCATGGTTAGACTCTGGCTGTGTCGAATTGGCTTCCTCCTCCTCGATTGGCTCTCCGGACGGTCTTCTGGAAATTGGAACAAGCGTTAATAACTCTGCTCTCACGCCTCTAGGGCTGCTACCGTCCGATGATTTGGGAACTTACTCGAATCGGCGAGGTTCAGGTTCAGCCCAGGCAGTGCCATATTCTCTCTGAATCTGAGCTCGATCTTCTTCCTCGGCCTCCGTATTCTCCACAACAAGGTCAACCAGCTGGCTGCGCTGTGTACCGCTGGAACTAGTGGAGCTGATGTTTCGCTGCAAGGGACCGGGAGTCGCCGAGCTCGGGCCAGGCTTATTGGAATTCGGCTTGGGACTTTGACGGCTCACAGCATCTGATGCGCGACTTTTCCTGTGCCTACGGGCCTTTTTGACATCTGCCCCTCGGCTCGAATCTTGATTTCTTCGCGTGGGTGGTAGCCGTTGGTCTCTTGGCACCTCGTTGGCGGTAATCACCGGGTACTATGCACGGTCAGCATCGCAATCACAACGAACACCTTGCACCAGTAACTTACATTCCAATCTCCAAATTCCAGTGCACGAGCATTGAGGAATAGTCGCTCGTCCTCGTCGTCCATTGCGGTTTCATCGATTTCACTATAAGATCGGAATCTTTCTCTCGAGGTCTGACTGGCACGTGGACTTCTGGGGACGCGCTCACTGGGTTCACCACCCAATAATAGAGGCGTTCGGCTGTTGGCTTCACCTGGTCTGGGAATCCAATATTTTGCCTTACCTCCACGCTCATACCTCATGCCGTCCATTACTCGCTTGACCCGTGAGCCCGACTCCTCATGCGGGATGATATTATCACCAGAGTCAAAGAGCCTATACCCGTAATTTTTACCTCGAATAGTGAGTTTGGTGTCTTCAACCAAATCTCGCACGCCAAATGCGTCGCGCAGCGCATATTTTACGGGCATGCGTGCAGCTGAGATAGTCGGGTCCGCGTAGTCGTGCCACGAAAATGCATACCAGTGAGCCATAGCGAAGAATGGCATCTCAAAACAAATAAGACTGTCCTGAATGGCCGCCGCGAGGTTGTCGGGGGTGTACCCAGCAACATTACCAAGCGCCCCCAGCCACTGCAGGATCGATAAGAAAAAACCTTGCCAATATGAGGCAAAAATAATGAGTTTTATGCAGAGGAATTTGGGAATAGGGCGGAATGGCATGAGATCGTCATGTAGACACACCCAGAACATGGCAAGAGAGTAGAGACTGATCGTGACGCTGACATTATATATGATACCTGTCCAGAGGTATCCAGAGCTCAGTCCAATATAGCCCTCTTGGTATGTGTCGGTTGCCTTCATTATGATGGAGGCGAGGGCCAGAATTGGCTTCAACCAAGCATACTGCAGGATACCACGCTTGACAGCGAGGAATGTGTGGGGATCGGAGACGTCAATCTTTGGGAGGAAGTGATTGAGAGGCCAGGCATGGGAAATAGGAGGACGGCCGTGGGCCATGATAATCACGGCCCGCTCGCCGCCGAGGAAGTTGATGAGGAGCTGGAAGAAGGTATAGATGGTGAATGCCTGCCAAGGTCATGCATTAATACAGCCCTATCCCAAAATCGGACAGGGCGCCACGTACCTCGTAGATATCGCGAACAGGATCCAGAAATTGAGCCGCCGTTAGCGATATGATGCTCGTCCATGATGATACTGCGTAAATCGGGACCCTAAGCTCAATCAGCACTGCTCTTTATCCCCGCCCCCTGACCTGATGCTGGAGCCAATACTCACATCAACAATATGCGCACCACGTAGCGTTGGAGCAAGGGTTTCCGGTAATTTTTGCTATATATATGGTGAGCTGTGGTTCGAGAACTGGGACGGTATTAGCTCGTACGCTTGAAACCATATGGACCTGCGGTTCGAGACAACATGTTAGCTCGAGGGTCTACAGCGATCGCACCCATTAACTGAGATACACGGGGTAGACTAGACTCACACAAAAGACAAGAGCGAGGAAACCAAAGCCGAGACGCCTGTGACAATGATAATTGCGCGTGCCAGGCTGGAGCCTGTTCCTCCGCCAGCTGCGATCGTCATGATTGCTGAAAACTAGGGACAAGTACGGTTTGGGAACCGCTTTTTGCCTGCGGAGATAATCCAGCTCATTCCGCGGAGTCGATAGAGGGGCAAAACATGTTGGTCAAGACCGAAATGGGGGGAGAATCAAGCTGGGGAAATGTCAGTTCGGAATGAGGAGGCGTGTTGCCCGATGACGATCTTCTCGTGACACCGCTCTCAGGGTTCCAAGACAACGCCCACCTTGCGACTTCCAGGATATTCGACCCAGCCACTTTGGTGTCGATGTTTGAGAGGTCAATTTTGGCTCGTCATTCGCGTTCTATCGCGCTGGCGCTGTCCATGTTGGCTGGCAGGGAGAGATGGCTAGTACAAGCTTGACATCGGCTTTCCTGACGCCAGATCCAAGCTTCAATTGGTATGGAATCGCTGCTTGGGTTATGGCTGTTATACTGATTAATTTAGGTTCTTTCTCTTGGAACTGATTGTCTCCTGCATCCTGTAAGACTTCCCTGTTCAACGCGGCCGGATTACGCTGATCATAGGCATAGTGCTCTGTTCTTTTTGCTCTACTTCAATCGCCTCTTCGCGAACCTTATCTCCTACGCGATTCGAGCATACACCTGGCATTACTACCGCGCATATGTTGATATCAATGCATTGCAAGTCTCCCTTCTTGGTGGGAGAATCTTCTTCAAGGGCATTCGGTACCATGGTGTGAACGAGACGATCTTTATTCATGGAGGATTCATAACATGGCGCTATTGGACGCGTACAGTGGAGCGAAATGACTTGACAGAAATTCGACGCAAGGCAGGTCTTCCTCATCATACCCTAAGGAACGGACATGCACAGTCCCCGCGCGATGGAACAGACGACCATCTTGGGGAGCAAGGTGGCATGGGAAACACGACTAAATTGCCATGCCGGATTACTATCAACACATATGGACTTGAATGGTTCATTTACAACCGAACCCCCGCCTATGACAGTATCCTTGCAGGCTTTGGGTACTCTCCCAAAAATGCGGATTTACACGACGACAATTCAAAACCCCCAGGGTCTCGCACAACGGCAGAGACTGACAACGCCGGCGATGGCTTTGGTTTTGAAGATTCATCTAGCCATAGGCCAGCCATGAAACCCATGTCAGAGCGCAGCATGAGTGAGAGGGACGGCGCTGCGTTACAGGGGACTACTCCTGGTGAATCAGAGCTATCAGACCCTGTGTCCAAGATGTTACAACTACTTCCCGTGAAGCTGGACTGCCAAAAAGGAGCCATTGTCATGGGAAATGAGCATACCCGATCTGTGTTGGCAACGACATTCGAGACTGGAACGGGCACCATTGATGCTTCCAATTCTGGCCCTCTTGATTTGTATCGTCAAATATTTTCATTTCAACTCAATAACCCAGTGATTCAAATGCGGCCAAACCCGGACTTCAAGCAGAATCAGTCGGCGACCGCCAAAGATCTAGGTGCCGTGCAAGAGAAAGAACTGAAGTCGAAGAAAAAACCGCAAAATATCTTCAACTATCAATTCCAGAGGCGAAAAGTATGGCACAGCATTCGAGACTTGGTCCCATATTTCCAGACATCTGTCGAATCGTTCCATAATGATGGTAGACACGCCAATAGTATGCCGAGGAGCCAGGCAGAGTTCCCCGAGGTCCGCTGGACTGGTCTATCTCGCTATCTAGATGAAGATAGCGAGGATGACCATGAGAAATGGAACTCAGTTGAATATGGCAGGTTTTCTACCATCGTGGATAGCCCTAGCTTGAATATAGCCTACTTCTGGGACATCCCTGGACGAGTCGTTATTCACCCAACGTCAACGGCTCGGCCTCAACCAATGAACAACAATATCAACTCTGCGCCTCCTCCGGAATGGGGAATTGACATCAAGATTGATGGAGGTACGATAAATTATGGACCATGGGCTGATAGGGAGCGGGTTGGCCTGCAAAATGTCTTTTTTCCAAACTTCTATCGCAACTCTGAGACCACAGAGCAACTAGCCCCTGGTGTTCTGCGACAAAGCACGGAATTTAGGTTGCGCGTGGAAATCAATAAGGAGTTGACTTTGCGCATTCCGACACGAGAGCCCTCCAAGGATTGGCAATGGAAGGGTCGTGCTGATGTCGTTAGGGGTGCATCGAGAGCGAAGAAGCCAAATGACCAGAAAAGTCCTCGAGCCAAAGAAGGTGAAAAGGGCTATATTGGCCCTGAAATTCGCCCGTTTGGGTGGCTTTCTCTTTGTGTTGCCGCCGACTCTACCATCAATTATACTATGGACATGGTGGGATCCAGCGCCGGGTTTCGAAATGAACTTTCTATCGACTTGCGAGAGTCGAGGTTATCATCCAGCATCAATCATGGCTTGCTCTGGCAATGTCCTCGGCAACAAGTCACTTGCGATTTGTCCAACCCGCTCTCCTGGAATAGTCTTCGCTCCTGGAGATTTACTGCCGAGAGCCAGGACCTACAGCTTTTCCTCCTACGTGATCACATATTCCTTCTAACGGATCTTGTAAGTGACTGGGCTTCGGGACCGCCTTCGGACTACTACACATTTGTGCCTTTTATCTACAATCTCGATCTCAATTTCTCCGACTTCCAACTTTACATCAATGTCAACGACCGAAATATCATCAACAATCCTTCGGATCTAGAGGACAATCGATTCATTGTCATCAAAGGCAAGCGCCTGACGTCGAATGTCATGATACCATTGAACAAATACCAACCTGAACAAAATGCCATTGAGTTCAAGGTGAACCTTGAAGATGGCGGTGTGGACTACACAACTCCTCTATGGGATACCCTTCACGAGTTCTTGCCGCAAAAATCCATGGCCACTCTTGAGAATTTATTCATTGACGGCTCCTATAACTATTTCCAGTCAACATCCCCCGAACTGACTGACACGCTGATGCTCAACATCGATGGTACTTCACCCCGTCTATACCTTTTTGGATTCTTGATCAAGAGTTTCATGACAATCAGAGAGAACTATTTTGGCGAGGAGATGCACTTTAAGACACTTGAAGAATATCAAGAGCTGGTCTATGCCGACGAGCCGCCGTCAAATCCCACAGGCATCAACCCAAACCGAAAGTCGAATGACATGGATGTGCTTGTGCGTGTCACGGTTGACGGCCCCCGTGCTTTCCTTCCTGTGAATATCTATGACCACTCAAAGTGCATGGGACTCAGCGCAGCCTCACTCGAAGCGGATCTGCGCTTCACTAACTACTATATGGACTTGCAATTTTCCATCACCCCATTGAAAATTGATTTGGAGACCACACAGCTGGATGGCGCTTCCGCTATCTCTAGCACTCAGCTGTTCATCGATGGAATCTCAGTTTACGGGCATCGTCTGTTTGGCTTGCCGCCGCTTGAACCAACCTACGTTTGTAACTGGGATTTTGAAGTCGGTAAAATTATCGGAGAATGCTCCGCCGAGTTCTTGGCCTGCTTGACTTCATCTTTGAAGAGCTTTGACTTCTCGTTTGATAACGAGGAAAATGCTTTGCCAACGCTGTTCCCGGAGCTTCTATTTGACGTCACTTTCTTAAGAGCAAAGATTGACTCGATTCATATCTCCGTGCTACTGGAGCAAACAGCTGTGATTTTGAGTACACGGCCCTTGAATGTTAACTTCAATGATTGGGCAAACACCAAGTTTTCTAAACGTATGAGCCTTCTCGTTCCGGATATCTCGATCGCTGCCGTTGATCGTCACTCTGTTTCTCAATACAATCCATCAACGGGAGAAATTATCTCCCCCATAGGACTTTTCCAATTCACGATTGGGCTGAAGATGGCTTTGCGTAAATCCGATATTGCCGAAAGTCGACGACTTCAGCAAGAACATATCAGAATCCATGATCAACGGACTCACAGGGCACAGTGGTTGCTTTTTGACTGGGAGGAGACTGGCCCAGCTTCAACGCTTCCTCCTGATGATGATGTATTCCCTCCAACCATGGCCATACCTTCAATGCCTGAGCCTATCCATGGTAGGGTTGGCTCTATTGATGTACCATCATATCGGAGAGCCCCAGGGCGTCGTCCTACTGGAAGCGCCAAGAGCTTCCTTGTCCAGTCGGAAGCATCAAGTATGAAAAGTGTCCGTATACATACCGCAAACAGCCCCAGATCAGCCCCAGATCCCGTTTCCAAGTCACGGCCTTTTTTGCCTACCCGGGAATCGAGCGCGTCCGTCTCAAAAACCAACCGGTCGAGATATGGACCAAACTCCGGGCCTCCGGCAGGCGCATTCTCATCTTCTGCGACAAGGGACGCAAACCCGTGGATAATGCCATATTTCTCATACTACAAGCTTCGTTTAGATACGGCTGAGCTTCCGTTGCCATTTGCGGATGAAGACAACATGATGAGTGAAGACTCTGCAATGAATGAAAAGTCCGTATTCCTCACATTTGATGATGATCAAACGAAATACACAAATCTTGCGTGTGAGATCCCGCTTGGTGTTCGAGGCTTTTGTACACCCAAATTCCTTCTAACGCTAGCTACTTTATTGGATGGGTTGGAGCCAAAGCATCCTACGCGAATTATCGACTCGCTGCAAAAAGATGTAATATCGAACATCGTTGGCTACGATAATGCCATGAGCCAGCCGCGAATTTCAACGGCTATTGCTCTACGTGTTCCCTCCATTCAACTAAGACTAGTTGACCTGTCTGAGGCTCCTAACAACAAACAGATCGAGTTCAGAGATGAATACAGCATCGAGATCCGTCGTCTGCATACTGAGTTCCGGAGAAAGGTGCAACGTCGGAAAGGCGATCTACTTGAGGGTCTCAAACAAGGCGTGACGGTACATGCGGCAGCTGAGCACGTCTCAATTTTTGTCGAGGGCAGTCGAGTAGACTCTTTCCACGAGAAAGCCGTGTTTAACTCTCACTTGGAAGATATGAATTTCTGGCTTGTGACCTCGCCCACTGTTCGCTCTAATCTTCAAATGCGGACTTTCAATACAATAAC